AGTTGTTCTGCAGCTCTGCCAAGCTCCTGTACAAAATGGTGTGTGTCACTTCCCAGGGAACAAGTCTGCCTACTGACAGGCAAGTAATGCTGCCCACCTTGCACCTGCTGATCCTGCCATTTTACACCTGTTAAATACCATGAATGCATACTGAGAACTGACTTGTTCTTTTTAAATTGCAGGATGCAAAAAGAAGCTGCCATCATGTGAATGGGAAGCAGCTGGCTGAGAAACAGGACGCCTGGGAAGGCTGAGCTGAAAGTGCCTGTGCACAAGATGACAGACTGATTTGCTCTGGGAGGCAAGGGATTCAGAAACCCCCTCCTCCAAAGGATTTTGCTGAGCGAGAGGAGAGGAATAGGAGCCAGTACACAAAAGAGCAATGGGAATTGAGGGCCATGGTTACTTGAGATAAATGGCAGATCCCTGGGTGTCTAGCCTTGTAGCTGTTCGCTTTAGCTTTGTCTCTCTCTGCAGCTACTGCTTCTTTTTTGCGAGCTGCTGCTGGGTGCTGCCGCGGTGGCGCTGGAGATTTCAAGGGCGACGTGGGAGCAGAGCGTGAGGAGGGGGTGGGCAGCCCGCCTCACCATGATTCAGCTGTGGAAAGTAGTGCGGCACGTGCGACAGCTGGAGCTCCACAGGTTGATCCTGCTGCTCATTGCCTTCAGCCTGATCTCCATGTGCATCCTGGCTTACTACGTCACTAACAGCCCCAAAATCAAGGAGCCACCTCCCCTGCCCTTCAGTGACTGCAGCAACCAGCACCGCATCTTGATCCCACCGCAAGCCAGCTGGAGGCTTACAAAGACTGTGGACACCTCACGCACGGATCCTGTGGTGCTAGTCTTTGTGGAAAGCATTTACTCCCAGCTGGGGCAGGAAATTGTGGCCATCCTAGAATCTAGCCGGTTTAAATACAGGACAGAGATTGCCCCTGGCAAGGGGGATATGCCCACCCTGACAGACAAAGACAGGGGACGCTACGCTCTTATTATCTACGAGAATATCCTTAAATATGTGAACCTAGATGCCTGGAACCGAGAGCTGCTGGACAAATACTGCGTAGAGTATGGAGTGGGGATTATAGGCTTTTTCAAAGCCAACGAGAACAGCCTACTCAGTGCGCAGCTCAAGGGTTTCCCCCTTTTCCTCCATTCCAACTTAGGGCTGCGGGACTATCACATCAATCCCAGTGCTCCCCTGCTCTATGTCACGCGAGCTAATGAGGTGGAGCAGGGTCCCCTGCCCGGTGACGACTGGACTGTGTTCCAGTCGAACCACAGCACGTATGAGCCAGTGCTGTTGGCCAGCACGAAGTCCTCAGAGTCCATTCCTCACCTGGCTACCCACAAAGCATTGCATGCCACCGTGATGCAGGACCTGGGTCTGCATGATGGGATCCAGCGAGTTCTTTTTGGCAATAACCTCAATTTTTGGCTGCACAAACTCATTTTCGTGGATGCTATTGCCTACCTGACCGGCAAGCGCCTTTGTCTCACACTTGATCGCTATATCCTCGTCGACATCGATGATATATTTGTGGGCAAAGAGGGCACTCGCATGAAGGTGTCTGATGTAGAGGTAAAGTCCACAGGATAACTGCAGGCCCCAGACAAAATTCCAGTATGTGTGGTATGCCAGGAACATCAAGGCTGAGTTTAATTTATGTGAAACAGTTGATTGCTCCAGGTGTTCTCATCTTAAACACAGAGAAGCAGCCTGTAAGGATGGTGAGGCACAGTATGTGACGCTCGCAACAGTTTTCAGGTTTAGATGGAGCATTTTGCGTTCTGGGACCTGCAGCTTGCGTATAGCTGCATCTCTCGGTTTAAGAGGAGGATGCCTGTGGTGGTCTGTCTTGTCTCCTCTTTAACATAGGGAATAAGCATATGCAGATTTCCTTTTGTAAACCTATTGGTACCCATAAACTACCTGTCCAAGGGAAAGGCAGGTTGTGTTGTAAAACTGCAGGCCAATCCATGCAGTGTAAACTGCTACGGTCTGCATGTTAGCCCTCCTGTAGTCTTTCAGGACATAACTGAATTGGGAATAAGAAGTGTTTTCTTTCACCCTTCATTACGCTCCCCTCATCTTTCCATCTCCTCCACCAACGCTCCCCCTCTCTGTGCAAGAAATGCCCCAAAATCTGCTGGGGAAACATGCTGAGACCAGGCCATCATGAGAACCATCTCTGTGGCCTCGTGACTGGAGAAAAAGAGATGGCATCTTTGGCGATTGCTTTCCTTGGCGAATCTTTGGTAATGCAGTGACCAAGTAGGGGAAAGATATGTGAAAGGCCAGGCACAGAAAAAGAGATTTTGTGGAGGAGAGGGAAGTGAAAAGGAAGGCAAAGGAAGAAATGAGTAGAAGGAAGGTAGGAAGCTAAAAGCCCCTTCCAATTGCTTGAAAACACGTGGTAAAGTATTCTCCTTCCAAGTCTATGATGTGTGTATATATGTTGCCTTGTTAAGCCAAGGGCTTGCTTTTATACCTTCCCTCTCAGTCCTGGTTTATGGCCCTTGAGGCAGGTGCTCGGCTCCTTTCTCCGGGCACACTGAGGTTGCTCCCGGAGGTGTGAGGCTCCAGCCCTTTCCTTCTCCTGGGGTGGATTTCCATTTAGCTCTTGCTCTCAGATCTGGTCCTGGATCAAGTTCCCTGGGTACCAGCCCTGATGGCGTTAAGCGCGTGACAGCAGGTGCCTTAACATTTTTCCAAAACGACTTCAAGATGAAGCCAAGGGCACAGAACATTTAGGGGCAAAGGTATGAAGCAAAATAATATTCTACATGTGTATGTCTTTACCTGCGCTGAACCTCATCCTTTACTCGTTCCTGAGAGCACTCTTCCATCTCACTAGTAGTCTTCGCACCTTCCCTGCATTTTTCCACGTCCCCGACAGGCATATCTCCCAGCTCACCTCCTTTTTTTTAGGTCTTTGAGGTTTTAAGTTCTTCTTTTGATCCCATGTTCAGCTTGGGGAAGAGGAAACTCTTTTAACCTGTTTTGGTCTAGCTTTATCTCCTCAATTCATTTGGCACTGCATACCTGAAGCAGCCCTAATTGCATGCCATTATTTTTCTTTTTATTCATTATTACTGTTTTCATTCGTTATTCTTCTTCTTTGCTCAGTTCTTTAATAACTCTTTACGGCTACATTTGACCATTGCTTTTTGCTTGCAAGCAAGCAGGTACAGAAAAATGAACAGTTATGTGCAATACTTATTTGAAGAAAATGCTAAAATTTTCATCATTTCACTGCAATGTCCCTGTGTTTTGAGATGCTGAAATGCTCTGAAAGCTGTTTTTGAAGGATCATAGTTTTGTCTTGGTCCTAAGCAGACCCTGGTCCCTCTTGTCCAGTCTGGCAGAGATTCCCATCTCTGTGGTGTTTGTGGAGAAAGCAGAAGATAGTTTGCCAAGCTCTTGGGGACAAAGGCTGCTTTAGTGATGTTAAAAACAACCCCAGACAAGATAATTCCAGAAGACATTTTGTTTGGGTTTTAACAGGGTGAAATGGAAGAGTAATCTGTGATCAGTAAGCAGAGAATCTCAGGCAAAGCAGATAAAACCCAGATTTATCCATTTAAAAGAAGCTCTCTGACTGCAGAGCCACGAGAGGTTAATGAATTTTTATTTTTTGAAAGCGAGAAATAACTACGTGGATTTGTTGATAGCCTCTCGCTGTGGGGAGGGAAGGGAATATAATAGTGACAAAACAGCTGGCATTTTCTTTGGCCTTTTATATGAAAGCTCTGTTTCAGGGCTGTTATCTCCACACACAGCTCCTTATCTTAAAGCTTAGATTACAGTGGTCAGGGTACAGTTCTGAAGATTGGATGTTGTGTGAAGGTATAAAATTGACTCTGCTGTCCCAGTGAGGCCGCTTGCCATATGCAGGTCCACGTTCAAAGAGCTTCCCAGACAAAATAACTCATAAAAGAAAATGCTGAATATAATTTCATCAGTGCATGTCCATGGTAGGTGTCTTGTAGGAGAGGAGGAGTGTTTTTATTTGTGATGCTCAAAGAAGGGCTGAATAGCTTTCCTGTTGAAAAAGAAAATAAAGGAACCATTGCTTACTTTTACGTTAAAAATGATAACCCCTGAGTTCCTGTTCCTGCCGAAGGGCTGGAGCAGGTACTTGCAGCTCTCAACTGAAGTGAAGCAGTTGGAACTTTCACAAATAAATTGTTTTTTCCTCCATAAAGTTCTCAAGGAATTTGAGCTACACGTAATTAACAAAACAAAATCTCAGAGGATCCTTTCTCATCTCAGTTAGTCTCTTGTTGAAATCATAATCCCCAGAACTTTCCAAACCTTCACAGGCCCAGCCAACAAGGAACAGCTGTTTCTAATGCAAAAATATCTGGCTTTTCTCATTCTTCCTGGTTATCTTTAGGTATGAGGAATGAAGATGAAGTAGACTAGTTTTTGCCTCTTTGCTGGTAATCTTAACAAGGGCATAAATAGTGGCAATTTTTAGTGAATCTGGGAGCAAGCTACATGATGATCAAGGACGGTCATTTCATTTTGGGTGAAGGCGATCAACCAGCTCTTGCCTCCCTAAATTGTAGAGGATGATCTTACCTGAAATGAAAATATTTAGCAGTTTCTAATCCCTTATCCTGGCATTACAGGGGAGATAGAAATGCCAGCATTATGAATATTTTCTCTTTTGACGGCACTATTCTGAGCTGTGCCAGTGCTACAGTACTGTGAGAAAACTGTGGAAAATCCTCTGAAAAATGTGCCCTCCAGTTTCCCTGGGGGCCGTTCCTATGAAGAAGGTGCTTGCTACAGCAAGCTCCTAGTATGCTTTGCACAAGTATTTGGGAAAGGGCTGTCAAAATACTCTACTTTCTTCCTCCTTTTTGTATTACCTTTCTATCTTCATCTGTCCATGTGTTGTTTTCCTAAATTCATGGTCGTCTTTTCTCCCCAACATGGTCGTCTTGTTTTCCCGCTGTCTTTGGCATCTTTTTAGAGAGACATGGGTGAGGGGAGGCAATATTCAGGGTTTGTATGAAATAGCTAAGGTCACTGCAAGCACTCTTGGGAGTTAAACATTTCATAACTAGAAAAGTAAAGTTGCATGGGGATGGTTGAGCTCTGTATGACTGTGATGCCAAGGACACAGTGCTGTCTTGACACCTGGATGGCACCAAGAGTTTGTAGTGACCATTGATTAAATCTTTGTAGATCCATCGGTAAGACCATATTAAGTTTTTTAGTTGTGCTGCAACAAATGGCATCATTTTAACCTTTTTCTTTAATGTTTACTTAAAAGTAAATATTCAGAATCGTTTGGGATTTTTTTAAAGTGATGGGCCCCAAATGTCAGACTGAAGCATTGGAGTTTAGACATGTTTTTAATTGTGCCCAGAAATCCTCAATGGACTGTAGATACCTGTCCTTTGGGCCTGCACAGAGGCTGTCCTAATCAATCGCTAAAAGGCCTCTGAAAATTCAGGTCGTGGGTGGCAGAGGGTGTTTTCTGATAGATTGTGACAAATGTAACGTGGGTCTGACCTTGATGTGGCTGATGAGCCCTGGTGGCCAGCTACATTTTTCTGGGAATCCCTTGGAAACCTCATCTTTTGCTTCTTGGTGTGAGCCTTGCCAAACTCCAAGCAGGGAGTGTAGCCAGCAGGAAAGGGGCCTTTTTGGCTTAGCTAATGAGCTTGGTTGCATCCTGGTAGGATTTTGGAATGGAAGATGATTAGGAAATATAAAACAGAAATCCTTGGAGGGATGAGGGGAGGGGAGGTTTTGCTGGGAGAGGAAACTTTGCCCCTTAGGGACAGGAAGAGATAGCTAAAATACTAGTCCTGTGTTCAGTACCGTGTGAGCAACTGAATTTCTTAAATATGGATCTGAAGATCTGTTTGCATTGGGCTATTATATCCTAATGGATATCCTACTCCACATTTCTTGATTGCCTTTCATTTAAGAGTCTCAGAGCACATTATGGTTATAAATGAAATGCCACTTGAGTTCACCTGGAAGATGATATTAGTACCGTCATGTTTCTCCTAGTTTATAAAAGAGAGTGAGTGTGAGGTATCAGAGTTGGGAATGGAGATAAGTGCCATCTTCCTGGCCCATTCTCACATCTATGTTGTTTCACCTTACAAAACATACCTCTTTGAACGAGGGAAAGGTGAATGCATGATTTGTTGAAACAAATTTCCAAATATTTTATTTGGCACCTTAGTCTTTTTATCCTGTTCGGGGCAAAGACATTTATTCAGGCCTTTGCTGTGACACTTTATGGATGTAAGTGTGAAAAAGACCTGGCATCAGCACAGGGATAGCACGTCATTAGCAGTAAACCTGCCAGGGAAGCAGTGTGACAAGTACTCCATAGTTTAAACCCCCCCCAAGTTTCTCCCTGGATCCCTCCCCAGACACAAAGGATGGCTGCCTGCCGGAGCAGGGCTGTTTGGGATTTATCGTCTGACAGATGTGTCGTCATGGTAACCCAAGCCAGGCTTTAAATCTCCCTCTCGGAGCAGAGGAATGCTAAGCCTTTTAGCCCCCGTCTCTCCTCCCTCAACCTTCCCACCGAGCTTGAGGAACTGGATGTGCCTTTCAGGGCAGCAGAGAGGAGTGGAGAGGCCTGGACAGCTCTGGAGGCAGAGAAAGAAAGTGGCCCTTTCCTGGCTACGACGCTGGGTGATGTGTGCAAAGCGCCAGTCCCGCGCGCGGTACAGTATTGTCACCCAGCTGGCAGACCAGGCGCTGCTCCGTTGATGATGCACAAGTCTTGGTCTGCACTCCCTGGTGTGGGATGGGTCTCTGTGTCCTGGGGTTGACAAGGGGACGTGAGGGGAACTTGCCCTCCCATTGCCTATGCTGGACCGTGTGCTGCAAAGGAGGTTGCAGCCGTCGGGGCTGCTGGCATGTCACCTTTTAAAAGCACTGCATGCATATGAGGTTCTGGAGGTGTCACGTGCCACACATTTCTCAAAATACTGCTCTTGGGTGGGGACTGGGATAAGGATGTGATAGTCACGTGGTCATGGAGGAGCAGGGATCTCTGTCCGACCTTTTGTCCCAGGCTGCATTTGATGTCACTGGTGCCTGAGCGTGGAGAGGGGGGAACGGCAGCCGAGTGCTCCTCTAGGGAAGAATCTGAAAACTTGGTTCATTCAGGCTTGAACGGCACTGAGTGTGTCTGCAGCACTGTAGAAATAATCTGTCTCTTCCCGTCTTGCATGTGTGAGGACCATGGGCTACCTGCCTCAGGCAAAAAACACTTCTTTCACCACTTGCTTCTCTCTAGGATAACGTGCAGTGGATGAGTGATCAAAGTAAATTATGGAAGTCATCAGTTTTAAATTAATGCGATGGTCAGTGTTTGGTCGGTACTCTTTTGAAATATTAGTGATTGTGGTGATTTTGTCAGGATATCCTTCAGTGATAGGTGACAAAGCTGGTCCCTGCACTGAATGAGAGTCTGCATCTGTGACTGCACTTCCCCACGGAAGGAGCCATGTGCCTGAACCAAGTCTATGGGTGTGAGCCATGGGGGGGCAGCACTGCTGTGCTCTTTTGTGCCTCTTGAACCTGAGGAAGGGTAGCTGATGCAGGAAGAACTGCTCATCTCCTCTGCACAGTATAAAAAGTCTGTGCTTTCTCCATTTCTGTGTAATTTGCCTGTGCATTAACATTTAGGCCAAGTCTGCTGTTGAGAGGCCGTCACCTTTGTCTTGGTGCAGGCACTGAGCCATTGCTTTTTTTAAAAAGCTATTAAAATGTGAATAACTGCCTGGGCCAGGAGCATCTCTGTCCCCTGCCAGCAGCCCTCCTGCCGGGTCCCTATTTGATTAAGAAGTGCTGTAGGAAGCTGCATCGGTGACTCTTTCCTGAGGTACACAAGTAGTACAGAGTGTGCATTTCAGGGCTTCTCTTTTTATTGTTTTCCAGCTGAAGAAATTTGACTGGAATTAGTTTGTCTTGCTTGTCTGTGACATACTGAGCCTCTTGGTGGGTTTTTTTTTTTCTTTTGGTCAAGTCTGTCTGCTGTCTCATTCTGTATGCTGCTGGGCCTTGGGGCTGTAACACAAGGCTCTTCCCTTTAGCTATAGCAATTACTTTGGACGTTCAGAGCAGGCACAAGTGAGCAAGAGAGCCTGCAGGAGGTATCATGGCTGTGAATGTCGGCTGCCCCTGGTTTTCTTTACAGAATCCAGGAAACCTTCCTGCTGTCCATGGCAGGACTCCTTGCATGGGTAGTTCTGCAAATCTTCCTTTCCTCTCTAAACGAAAGGCCCCTCCCTTTGGATCACTTAGTTACTATTCATGGTATTATTGAATTCTCTTCCTCTGACTATGCACCATGTCCAGCTCCACCCTACAGGGTGCTTTTTAGTAATCTGTAAGCTCAGAGAAAGGGGAGAAGTTCAACAGCAAGGTCCCAGCCAGCCCGGGGGGAAGGGAGCATTGATGTTGAGCTTGGGAAGACTAAGGGACCTATTGCTTGGAGGTGAGATGTGTTGTTCCTTTGCCTTAGGTGCAGGCTTTCTGGGTCCTTTACAGTGGGTTGGAAAGCATGAATGAGGAATAACACGTGGCTGTGTTATTTAGGTTAGAAAGTGATGTCTTTCAGTAAGACAAGACTGTATGTCATCTAAAGGCTCTGTGTATGTAGCTGTTGGCTACCTAGCTTGCACAGGCTGCAGTGCCCTGTCTCCAGCCTCTGCGGTACCTTCTCCAGAATTGAACTAGGCACCAGCAGAGCACAGAGGGACGTTACAGAACAACTGAATGTGAACATTTCTTTTTCCCTTTCATTCAAACAGGCTTTACTGAGCACCCAGAATAAGCTGAGAACTTTAGTCCCAATTTTCACCTTCAACCTGGGCTTCTCAGGGAAATTCTACCACACAGGTAAGTTCCTGGCACCGCCTTTGGTCCCAGTGCCTGTGTGCAGCCTGTAAGGTCGCAGGAGTCACGCACGGCCCTGGCAATGTACTGGGCGCGTTCCTGTGTGGCTCTTGACAGATCTGATGTATTTCTTCTGGCACTTGCAGCCTTTGGTAGCTCTCTGTCTGTACTCTCTGTGCATGTGTCTCTGTAATACTTTAGAGAGATCTTGATGCTCTGTAGGACCTGCTCAGCACTGCAGGGGATTAGCCAGTGCTTCGAAACACTGAACCCTTATTCTGTCTTTTACTTTTGCACTTCCTTTTCTGCTCTCCTTAGGTACAGATGAGGAAGATGAAGGGGATGACATGCTGCTCAAACACAGGAAAGAGTTCTGGTGGTTCCCTCACATGTGGAGTCATATGCAACCTCATCTTTTCCACAATGTCACTGTGCTGGCTGAGCAGATGAAGCTCAACAAGCAGTTTGCTGTGGTAAGGAGCATCACAGCCTTTTTTCCTTTGCAGTACTAATCCTAGAACATTCTTCCCCTGGAATAGCTGTTTGAACCCAAATATTAGTCTGGCAACTCAGCTGCATTTAAGAAAACTAACTCTGAAAGTTTAAATTGGTGCATGGCTCCCACTGCCTTCAGGCAAGAAGCGTGATTCACATGCCTGCCTCTGCGACGGGAAGTGCTTCCTGGCACCTGCGCGGCCCCAGGCAGCCTTCACCACATTCCAGGGTGCAAATCCCAGGGCTCTTGTTTGCTGAGGTGTGTACTCACCGCAGCGTTGCCATCCAAATCCAATTAACTTATAAACTCAGACTGGGAGAGAGCATTTCCTGCTCCATCCTTATTTACTGTGGGTTTGTAAGGAAATCGCCTGGGCAATAGTGTAAAAGGCTCTATGTACTAACGCTCATGCCTCTGGCCTCCCAAAACAATGCTGGTGGGAGTCAATTATATAGGAAGTCCAGGGGAAATTGCCTGGGTTTTGGCAGAGGAGGAGGAAACCTTGAACATCCTGCGCTGCTAGGACAATGTCTGCTTGAGGCTTACAGGACAGAGGTGAATATAGTGTACATGTTCCTCTGAAAACAAGTGTCCTTTTCACCCCTACTTTGGTTTTGTTGATAGTAATCCCCTTGGGAATGGCAGCCTGCCTGTCCCTTGCTCCCATGACAGATTAGGAATGATTTTGAATTCGGAGCACAATTGCAATGTCATAGAAACAGTTCAGTCTCCTCCTTTTTCTGCTATTGCGAAGTAAGACAAAGCACAGAACACAATTATACTTATTTATCATAAAACAGGCAAACAGTGGGAAGGAAAAGGCTGTTGTTTCATTTAGGGGCTCTGGTTTTATTGTACACCACTAGGACAGAGCTGTCATCATTCATACCATTAGCAGAACCACATAGTGGAATTAAAAGCCATGAAATTCAGATATTTCCTGTCATTTTAGGATAGCTCCAGGCCCCATATCTTCAGCCTCAACAGCTGCTTGCTTCCTGCCTGCTTTTCTTTGAATTGCTGTCTTCAAGACAGATCCCAGCTCTTGTCTTCCTTTCCTTCTATATCAGTTAAGGAAATTTTGCTTTCCTCCTCCGGTGACTCCAGTCCAGGCATTGTGGGTGTGAGATCTGTCACTTACAGCACTGATTAGTTTGTCTGTAGTAACCAAGGAGCTTGACCTCAGGCTTGTGTATTAATCTGATTTGTCACACCTGCAAGCTACAAGACTGTTTGTACAGCAGCTGTTACAAAGTGCTGAAAGTCGTGGTTGATACAGAGTCACCCTTCCTATTTCTTTAGATGCAGCAGGCAAGAAGTACCAGCAGTATTTCAGGTTTCCCAATCCAGAGAGATTTCATGCTGCTCTGTCCCCTCGCTCCCATTTGGAGGCTATTGCTAAATCCAGTCCTCATTAAGGATAACAGTTAAATAAATATTGAGCGATCAAGCTGCATATTTTCCTTCCAGGAGCATGGGATTCCCACAGACTTGGGCTATGCTGTAGCTCCTCATCATTCTGGGGTGTATCCTGTCCACACGCAACTCTATGAAGCTTGGAAATCCGTGTGGAGCATCCAGGTAACAAGCACAGAGGAATACCCACACCTGCGACCTGCTCGCTACCGCCGTGGATTCATCCATAATGGAATTATGGTGAGCACAGCCAGGACGGCAGAGCCCATGGGGCCTGGGGAGGGCACAGACTTCCTGACCAAGGACAGATTCTTAATGACTCGCGTCAGAGACATCGATCTCCATGTCGCCAGTATTTCCAAAATCATTAAGTCAAACAAAGAGAAAGGATCTGGCTAAAGCCAGTGTTTGTGCTTCTCCAATCAGTCAGTACAATGCAGAGTTGACAGGTTGCACTGGTGTAGAATCAGCACAGGTATGCTAATAAAATCAGTGTATCCTGCAAAAGCGTTGTTTCTCCAGGAACACACACCTCACTCCTTGAGCTTGAGGGCTTTTCCTGAACAGGATGTTTAGGAGCTGGCCAAATGCCTGCCTGTGCCTTATTTCAGATGAGCTAGGTCAGCACTGAAAGGAGAAAGGGGAGCAAAAGCAAGCACAACAAGACCAAATTGAGATCCCCTTGACTTGTTTGCACTGTTGCTTAGAGCAGGGTGAGTAAATATGTGGGAGGAATATCAGAGTCCTTTGAACCAATGTTACTTTTGTCCCTTACTCTCTTTATGTTGATCCATCTAGTGCTGCTTTGACGCATCAGATTTGTGCTGTTTGCCTCTTGCCTAACCTTGCTTTTCTCTGATACTGCCAGGTTTTGCCTCGACAGACTTGTGGTCTTTTTACTCACACCATCTTCTACAATGAATATCCCGGTGGCTCAAAGGAGTTGGACAAAAGCATTCGTGGTGGTGAACTTTTCCTGACGGTGCTCCTGAACCCAGTAAGCTCATCTTTAAGGGGAATCAGTGCATGGGTGTCTCAGCTTTGGTGCATGATTTTGGGAAGGGCTAGATACTTATGGGAGACTCGATATTAAAACCCCAATACAGGGAGTTTTCACAGTGTGGGTGTCTCCAGTGTGAGACCAAGGAGAGCTGAAAACGAGGGCCAAGGAAGTACTGGCTACTTAAGGCTGCTTCACCTTACACACTGCTAAGGAAGCATCACTGTTGAGCGTTGACAAGTGGAGCGCTCCTCAGACAGAAACTAGCCAGGCCAATGTGCTGAGCGTGGCCCAGCGTGGAGTGGGTGTTAGCGAGACTGCTGCATCTCCGTGAATCAGAAGTGAGATATTCCTTGTCTCCTGTTCCACGCACATCTGCCTGCTGTTAGCTTATCCCCATGCTAACTGATGAGTTTTGTTCAGAATAATTGCTTTTTCCTGCCTTTTATTATGGGATGTTTTCCTCTTTCTTCCAATATGGATGCCCTTGAAGCAATTTCTGCATGTTTGTTCTGTGATGTAGCTGTCACCCTAAGGCATTTAGGGAGGATCTGGGTCTGACACAGCTGTTCCTTCTTCCCTTTTAACACTTCTCAGCTCCATCAAACTACCAAACAAATGCAAGGCATTCAAAACTGTGCAGCCCCTTCCCAGTTCTCAGCTGTGGAATCACATGGTTTTCCTGCTTCTTGTTGAAGCTGGGAGGAAGATCCAGGTGGCAAGAGACAAAAAAAACCTCCTCATTTTTAAAAAATCCTGAGAGGATAGAATTAGGAGATGATGCTTTGTATCCCGCTCCAACCCCAGTTCTCACTCCCTTCACAAAACATGCCTCAGACGTGCTTGTTGGCTGTAGCAGGGGAAGACATGCTTCTCTTTTTGACTGGTCCCACGTACAGTATCCTTCTCAATTCCCCACCTGAATGTATATCTTATTAAAAATGATTTGGCACCTGTTGTCATCCCTTTCTCTGTATGGGCATTATTACACTGCCAGATTTAGACAGTGATTTTTAAAACATCTGCCTTGTAAACGTTACTAAAGATAATGATGTTTGTTCTGTTCTTTTCTCATAACTTCAAAATTCTTATCTTCTTTCTCTTGTTTTCCCTAGTGTTTAGTGTCTCTCTAATCCTAGAAGTAGAACTGTGATAGTGATAAAACCCTTGCAGTGCATTCTGAGTGCATCGTACAGTCAGGTTGTAATTTACAACCAGGCCCTGTGTTTCTGAAGGTTAGCCTGTGGCTGCCTTTGGTTTGGTGTATGTCCTCTCCCTGGGCACCTGATTTGCAGAAGACGGGAGTCTGTTAACAGCCCTAGCTAAAAGATTTAGGGGTTTGTACTTCCAGTTCTGGAGGCCGCTATTTAGCCCCCATTGCCAGAGACAGAATCACAGAATGGCTGAGGTTGGAAGGGACCTCTGAAGATCATCTAGTCCAACCCCCCTGCTCCAGCAGGGTCCTCTAGAGCATATTTCCCAGGATCGCGTCCAGGCGGGTTTTGAATATCTCTGGGGAAGGAGACTCCACAACCTCTCTGGGCAACCTGTTCCAGTGCTCAGTCACCCTCACAAGTCAAGAAGTTTTTTCTCAGGTTCAGAAGGAACTTCCTGTGTTTCAGTTTGTGCCCGTTGCCTCTTGTCCTGTCACTGGGCACCATGGAGAAGAGTCTGGCCCCATCTTCTCGACACCCTCCCTTCAGATACGCATTGTACACACTGATGAGATCGCCTCTCAGTCTTCTCTTCTCCAGGCTAAACAGTCCCAGCTCTCTCAGCCTTTTTTGATAGGGGAGATGCTCCAGTCCCCTAATCATCTTTGTGGCCCTCCGCTGGACTCTCTCCAGCAGTGCCAGTAGAACTGTTATCGTTACACACAACAAGCAAATCCACCTGCATAATAAAACTCTGCAGGAAGCAGAAAGCTGCTCTTTGCGTTACATACCAAGGGATCATTGATATCATTGGTCAGATGGGAAGAAACTGCTTTCTTCTCTCAAGAACTATGACTTGTGCTTTTCTGGGTTTTGGTTCCTGTATCTAATGTGATTTTCACCTTGTCCTATTTTGTAATAGTGAGGAGAACAAGAGCTCTGGATTTCTCTTGGAATGCAAGTTGCCATACTGTAATCCAGAGATCATTACTGGTCTGGGAGGCTGTGCCAAGGAACTTGTAGAGTTTAATGGAGAGAGCTACCCATTAAATGTTTGCTGATACGCATGCGATGGTCTATGCAGCTGGCAGTGCTTTGTGATCCAAAATGCTTGGGAAGATTGTGCTCTGGTGTGGGATAGGCTTGTGTTAGATTTAGTGTTGGCTCTTCATGGTGTCTTTCAGAAGGGTTTCAGGCTCTCTCAGCTGCTTCCAGTGTCTTCAATTTTGCTTTGTAGTGGCAGTGGAGTTTCTCTCCCTGTGAGCAGCGGAGGCCTGTGCTCTCAGCTCCTCTCCATTGCTCCTGTTTGTGCAGCAGCTCAGACCTTTGCGTTCCTACCCTCGTTGATAGAGCCATCTCTTAGACTTGATAGAAAGCTGGCCAGCCCTGCAGCCCCAGCAGTGATCCGTAGCAGACTTGGGCCAGTCCCTTTCAGTCATTTCTGGTGCTTCCAGCCCCCTTTGAGTGGATGTACACAGGCAAGAGTCCCTAAGTCACAGTGCAAACAGATTATGTTTGATCTTCTGACTAGTGAAAAGGTCTAATGTCAGGAACGAGAATAGCTGTTGATGTTCAGTGGACAAGCTGCCTTGTGCCCTGTCTATATTTCCCAGAAGCAAAGGGAATGTTTTGATGATTTCTCACACACTCATGCACCAGACAGGTTATTGCTGTGCCCACAGCTACTTGTTACGTAATGCAAGAACTCTCCTACCTTTCTACGTTTTGTATTTCAGGCTCTCTGCCCTTTTTCTGCCATCTTTCCTCAGTGTTAGGGCAGGGAAATCATGGCATGCTGATGATGCAAGGGAAGGGGAGAGGAGGAAGATGTCGCTACCAAGACAGTCCCAGGGGTCACTGGATGTGAATGAGAGGGAGGGATAGACAGAGCTCGCACATAGGTTATGTCAGCATATGTCGAACAAACGTAGGTTATGTTTTGGTAGTGGTAGCCATGGCAAGGCAGAGCAGGCTGCCTGTTTTAACAGAGCAGGTATATTAGAGGATCTAACTATGCACTCAGAAGTACAGGTAAATGGCTCTTTAGTTGTGCTTATTTTGCCTTCTTGTAAGCCCAATTGCTTGGGACTGTTTGCAGGTAACGGCATCATCTGTGAGCAATGGTTGGCCTGAAGATTATCCTGAACATAGTCAGTCTTCAGACATAGTTTCTAAACGTGGGTCACATGCAGGAAAGATTTCATCCTGGAAATCTTGAAAGTGCCCTGGGTGGAGACCTGTGTCCTTCCTCCTGCAGTACTTGGTTTAAGCCATTGAGTCAGGCACTTCATACAGCAAACTTGTTTTCTGCATGTTTCACCAGCAGTTCAAAGGGATGAGCCGGCTGCTAGCTGTCACACCACTTTCTTGGCATCTCCCAGAAATAGCCAAAGACAACATGAGATGTGTCCTCTTGCCTTCTGATGTAGTCAATGACATGGCCCTGCGGTTGTATAGATAAACCTTTCTGTCCTTTGCTCTGTGTTGTATTTAGCACATCCTTCTTATACAACAGCACCAAGCCCACACTGCTCTTTGACGTGTACGTATCAGAGCCTGTCTGGCAGGGCCTCTGACAACTTAGTAGGAGACCAGAAGTGAAAAATTCACAGGCAGACAAACATGATGAAGCTTCAGCTCCGCTTCCCGTCCATGTGTCCCAGCATCCTACCACTGTTTTCTGTTGCCTACCTTCAGTTAGTGGAACCCTGGTGTGCGAGCACTGTGTGGACAGGAATAAATGCACTTCCACACTGTGCCTGGGATGACTCACGCACAAACAGATACTAAGACATGCTATCTGTCCATACCTCTAGTTGCACTGAAACTAGTCCATGGTGACATAGGGCAGAAAACTGAATTCAGACCTCCTGAGTGCCAGCAAATGACTTCATCCCAAGACCGTCTGTCTCCTGCTTCCTCCTCTTGCCCTTCGCTCCTGCAGGTGGGAAGGCCATTGCTGCCCCCTGCCAGTGAAGCCTGTTGTTGCCTCCTGACCTCCTCTAGCAGCATGAGGGTTCAGCCCTGAGCTGTGCAGCAGCGGATGCCAGTTCAGCTACTGAAGCCTTTTCCTCTCCCTGCACCAGCAGACACTGGGGAGCCGAGAGTGCAAAGTCATCCCCATAATCATCCTTCCATTGGCATTAATGTTCTGCTTTTGCTTTGCTAACTTCTAGCCTTGATGTGGTTTCGTGACTGGCAAAGAGCTGTTGTGTTGCAGCCAGTGGGATGCCCAATTCCATGGGATCCTTCAAAGCCACACACTGAACTCAAGCTGAGGGCACTCTTTTGCACCGTTTTCCGAGAGTTAAAACATTGAAAAACAGACAGGAGAATGAATCTGCTTGAGAGAGGAGATGGCTTGACAAAGCAGAGATAGCACATCAGCTCCGGCAGAGAGAGCACATCAGTACTCCACTGCAGTACTGGCAGAGGCTCCCATGGGTGCTTAGTGCCACTTCGCTTAAGGGCTTATGCCTTCGGTCTTGGCAGGAAATGTTTCAAGGGCTGCACATACTGCAGGGCTCTGGAGAGCTAAAACCTTACTAGCTGGTGTCTCTTCCTAGGACAGTGTCCTAGCGCTGTGTCTCCTTGCGTTCCATGTTCAGTTCCCCAGATATACTTCTTTGTACTTTAAAGTGTGAATTGCCAGTTGTTCCTGTCCATTCAGGTATCAGCTCCAAACTGAATGAAAGCTGGATTCCCCTAGACACCAGCTGTGGGCCTAGAAATAGGTCCTGTGAAAATTGTCCCTTATGAAAGCTATACCTTGTGCCACTGTGCTCTGGAATGCAGCATGTTGCCCCTCTCCCTGGCCTGCTTCTCAGCTGAAGCAGGCACTCCAACTAGATACACGTTGTGTCTCAGGGTGAGGAAGGGAAGGTCCTACTTTCTCTTGAAAGGAGTTTTGCAAGGTTTTGATTAGAAGCGAGCCACTGAGTAACCCTTGTTCCCCTGGATGTTTCAGAGGCACTTGAATGGGGTTTGAAACTGTGCTGGATTCATGGCCTGGGCTTACTGAGATAACCCTGGGGTTATTGAGAGGTGTCTGGCCTTCCTTCTCTCCTGAGTTCCTGTTGCCTTGCAAGAGGTAGATCTCTTTGATTTTTCATCAAGGCAGTGCCGTATACTGACAGATGCACATTCATCAGCCCATTCAGCAAGGGCAGTCTGAGATGTGAGCAGCCTCTTGCTGACAGTGGGATCAGACCAGGAGGACACAATACTGTTACCTGAATTATCAGTATTCCATGTCTTTCCTATTTGCAGATCAGCATCTTCATGACCCACCTGTCTAATTATGGAAATGACCGTCTGGGACTGTACACTTTTGAGAGCCTGGTCAAGTTTGTGCAGTGTTGGACCAACCTTCGCCTGCAAACGCTGCCCCCTGTCCAACTCGCAAAAAAGTATTTTGAAATCTTTCCCCAGGAGAAGAATCCCTTGTGGCAGGTGAGAAGGCAGTTTTAACCTCTAGTAGTGGTTACATACCCTGGGAGGTATGTCCCACGTTTATGTCTGGAGAGGCTGCTGATCCAGAGCACAGAGTGGTGACACATAAGCCTTTTAGGTTTAACCTTTGTGGCTTGAGGCTGCAAGTGCCAAATTGCAAGGTGGAAGGGATGGGGAAGTGGGAGCAGTAGGCTTAGGGACAAAGATTGCTGTTCTAAGGGACCTTGGCAGGGTTTGCAGGCATTTGGATAATTGAAGGCTGATGTGAAATGTTAAGTGTGTGAGGAAGGACCCTGTTTGGTGCCAGAGGAGCTTGCAGGCATGTTAATGTGATTAATCTTAAAGTAATTTCACACCACGGAATTCATGTTCATTAAATAAAAACATGCTTATTTCATTTCATCTCGGTGCAGAGCTCTCTGCATGGTAATGAGCAGATGAAATTAACTGAAGGTGATAGAGTTGTCTGTCTGCCAGAAGTTCACAGATGCTGAGCTGTACTATCATGGTGGCCCAGCCCAGCACGGCTGCACAGGGCAAGACCTGTAGTTAATGCTTTCAAAGGGACTTTGGCTTCTGTGTCACTTTTGAGCTTTTTAAAATGTTCCCCTGTGTTTTCATCTAAGCCTTCTTGATGTCTGGCAAAGAAGCAATGTGGCTGTGAAGTGTTCTTCATATGCTAATAGCATGTTCCCTAGAGGACTGGCTTTCCAGCTTTTCTTCCTATTTCCATTAGCTCCTGCAGTAATATTTAATCCTATCACTTGTGCTGCAGAATCCATGTGACGATAAGAGGCACAAGGATATCTGGTCCAAAGAGAAAACATGTGATCGGCTCCCCAAGTTCCTCATCGTGGGACCTCAGAAAACTGGTAGTGTGAATACTTTATCTAAAGATAAGACTGCAGCTTCCATCTCATTCCTCTGGAGAGGAGAGCTGGAAAGGCCCGTGTTGTAGATCTGTACGGCTGCTCTTTGTGCAAGCTGCCAAATGACCACAGAGGACATTTCAGAGAGTCTCAGATTTGTTCTGCCCTAAACCTGGCAAGCCCATCAGTACTTTGCACCTTAGCACTCTGCGTGGATCAGTCTGGTTTGCAGGGAAAAGCCCTACCTGCTGAGCTGTAGTTTGGCTTTTCCTCACAAGCTCAGAGAAACAGTGACCTTTCCTAGTTTGTCGTAAGACATAAGCTGTCAGCAGGACTAACCACACACTCTTAGCAGAGGCTATGATGAATGCCCCCTAGCGCTTTTCTTGTGACGGATCTGTGTACTCGCCACATGTTCCATGTCACTGTCAGTAGGAGGTAGTGATCCTCTTTTATCTGATCTCTGTCACCACCTCTTAACTGCTGTGGCATCATCGTTGGCAGTTACATGGCTATCCATAAATACTGTCCTGAGGAGTCACTGCTGGCCTGAAGAGAGCAAAACCTCTTCAGCCAGAGCCTGGTCTTCAAACCTTGGCTTTCTCTGTAGCGCAGTGAAACAGCAGCTGCTAGCCATGCACAGAGACGGTGATCCTGGCCCATGGGAGGAGGCTTGTCGCAGCCAAGCTGCTGCCTGTGTCACTGCGAAGCTCTGTTGGCACGCGTGCAGCATGGGCACTCCTGAATCGTTGCCTGGGCTTCTCGCAATGGCACAGGAAGAAAACCCTCCTCGTAGCTGGTTTATTGGCCTGCTGGACCCTTGCAGCTGTACAATTGCCCTTGCAGCAATTATCAGGCTTGGCTGGGTGAGGGAAAACATCTACAGCAGAGGCAGGCCAAGCCATCCCTTGCTGACCTCCCTTCCGAGGGCACTAATGTCACCCCTAACACATCTCCTTTCAAAACACATGATGCTGCCCTGCAGTATGCAGGCCACCTCCCATTTGGCACGTGTGGGTCCTGCCACATGACAGTGTGGCCATGCTACAAAGGAAAAAGAGATGGGGGGTAGCCCAGCCACATTCACGTGGCTGTTAGCAGAGAACACAAGATGGCTGGCATGATGATGGCTGTCATGGTAAGGAGGTGATTTAAATCAGCTGCGTGAGTTGATGCCTGGGATTGAACTGCTGAGTAAAGTTAAATCCCAATTGCTTTGGCATCACTGCTCTTTTAACCTGCATGAGTTAAGGAGTGGGTTAGCTGTGCAGGGCTAGGGGTATGCCCCTTTGGGGGCTGTTTTTTTGTGCTATAGATAAAGCCTTTCATTCAGCCAAGTGTTGTGTGTGACCCAGGTTCTGTTAATTGGTTCCTGTTGCAGGCACAACAGCTGTGCACTTCTTCTTGACCATGCATCCAGCTGTCACCAGTAACTTTCTGAGTCCATCCACCTTTGAGGAGATCCAGTTTTTTAATGGGCCCAACTATCATAAAGGAATTGATTGGTAAGAATCCTCACTGTTGTGCTCTTCTATGATAAGCTGCATCCGTGTTGTCTTCTCCTGAGTCTCCCTGTACGTACTCTGTCTGCCTCAGCCTTCTTAGTAGCTTCTCCATTTTTGACCAGCTGTTTGCTTTGCTGTTACTCAGCACATGTTCTCTGTCTTCCTGCTAGCCCATCTGTTTAGTCCCAGGAGCAGCACTCGTAGTTTTTGATCTTAGTGACTGTTGACCAGAAGAATTCTAGGCCTGATTTTTCTCAAGCTTTAACATTTTAAAGAGTCTTTGTTGAATCCACTGCCATCATGAGATTTCCTCTCCTTTGATGTGCAAAACAGACAACAGTGTGCTCTCTAAAAAGAAGTTCTTCATGGTCTCTGAGTTAAGACACACAGGACAGAGGGGATGCTGTTGTTTTGGGCCCTTTAGACTTAGAGAGATGTCACTGCATTCCTTACACTGACTCCAGTGTCTCTTTGGCCACGTGCATACCCAGATCTTTACCTGTACAAGTATACAATTATGACAAAGTAGGTGTTTCTACCTGGTGGAGTAATGCTAGTGTCGTTATGGCACTACTGTGCCACTGTTTCCAGGCAGAGAAATTGTAAAGGTATTTCTTGACTGAAGTATGAATTCTGGGTCCACCCTGGCACCACACTCCCTGAAGCTTGGCTCTGAGGGATGGTGGTGCGGCAGTAAGGCATTCTGTCATGGGATTTCTTTCCCCAGGAGTTGCAGGAGAATTTGTCTGACTTCCCTGAGCATTTAGAGGACAGCTGAAAAGACGTTGGAGGGTTGTTGGTACTTGAGTGAAGTTAGTGTGAGTCGGCACTACAGAGTGACCGCGTTAGCTGATAGGCCTCGAAAGCCTACGCTTTCCTGTGCATCCCCTGGAAAAGTCATCCAACTTGAGTGGAATGTAGCATCATATGCAAGGGGAGAAATTGCTGTTGAGGATGGAATTTGTGTTTTACAGCTTGAATTTCAGCAGAGACCAGCCTTCAGGTACTTTACAGTGCTCTGTCCCCCCATTACCCCTCTCCTCTCCCATTATTCAAGTGTCTTACACTTTCTGTGTTATCAATCTTACAAGCTCCTGTAAGGTAGAGCAGAGCTCCTATCCTTATTTCTCAGCTGTGAACTGAGGTACAAAGAGACAAATGATTTTCCCAGGTCTAAACAAGAGGTCAGTGCTAGGGCAGACAGTTGATCCTGATCAGCACCCTTACTCTTGGGCAAACTTTCTTTTCTCCTGCTTTTAAAGGTGTTAGTTGCAAACTTGGAGTTTGCAACTAGTACTCTGCCCTCAGCCTTGTACTGCCACTACACCAGGACTTGGGGAGTGCACTCTCAAGAGAGAGAAGAATAATTCTTCTTCCCTTTTATTGTCTCCTACTTTCCATCCTGTGCTCCACCATCCCTTTCCAAGTCATCCCTCTGCCAACTTTGCACTGGTTTGTTCACTGGTTGCATTGCTGGGGAGGTGCAGTTGTTCTGTGAGCCACGTCTGTCGAGGAGGTGGGAGGGCATCGTTTTGCTGTGTGCCATTTCTGTGTTGGGCCGTGCTGCTCACCAGCATCCCATCCATTGGCAGGTACATGGAATTCTTCCCCATCCCCTCCAACGCCAGCACAGACTTCATGTTTGAGAAGAGTGCCAATTACTTTGACACAGAGGTGGTACCAAAACGTGGTGCAGCCCTGCTTCCTCGAGCCAAAATCATTACTGTTCTGATCAACCCTGCTGACCGAGCCTACTCGTGGTACCAGGTGAGCTCCCTGCACCCCTCTGCTGGGGAGGGCCAAGGAAAGATCCCAGTGGGGTGAGGCAGAAGGTCGTGAATCCCTTTCCATAGGAAGGCCAGGGGAGATGGTACAGGCTGCCCTCGAGTGTGGACAGTTACGGACAAAGGCATTGGTAGCCTTTGTCCTAAGAGTCAGTGGGCTCTGCACAGAGATGTGTATGCTGGCATGGGAAAGGTGGAATTTTGTGTTCCTGTTCCCTAATTTGGCATATGTTTTTCAGCACCAGCGTGCTCACAGTGACCCTGTGGCGCTCAATTACACCTTCTACCAGGTGATCTCTGCAAAATCCCAGGCCCCTCAGGAACTGCGCAACCTGCAAAGCCGATGCCTCCTCCCTGGCTGGTATTCAACTCATCTGGAGCGCTGGCTAACATACTACCCTTCTGGGCAGGTAGGAGATTTGGCAGGTTAATGATGCCCTGACATTGCTGACTTTGGATGGGATCATGCAAAAACCTTGGGCCCAGGGACCGAACACTGCAGCCTGGCCTGAAGCTGAGATGACAGAATAGGGTAGGGACTGCTCTCTCGGACCCCCTTGTGTGTTGATTGCAGAGGAGAGGAAAACTCTCTTTATCTCTTTCTCTCATTCTATTTTCATTTCACCTTTTGTCTTGTCTTTTGGAACAAGAACCAACGCTTGCTTCCTCTTAATGTGAGCTGATAAGGGATCAGGCTTGCAAACTTCAATTTTGTACTTTATTGCATTTGTAAAATCTCATTTAGAATCCGGAATCTGCAGGTTGCTGAGTAAAAGTAAACATGTGCAAAAGGAGACTGTGATCTTCCAGACAGCTCCGTGGTATTGAGAAGTTGGAAGAACAGCAGTGTTAGCATTCCCTTTCTTTCATCTTGGCAGCCTGCAGCCTTGTGATTCTCTTCAGGCCCAGCAGGTGTTCAGCTACTTGCTGTGGTTTTATTGCTTTAAAGACAGGCTCTTGGACTCTGCCACTTGTTAGTTCCCGTGTTGTGAAGCCTTTAGCCCTCTGCTGAGGGGAAATTTCACTGCAGATGTGTCAGGATTCTGTGTTTTGTTTGTACATTTGCAAAAGGTCAATTAATATACCCTATAGATCAGTTTAGCTTCTAAATTCCCAAGAAATTTATAAACTATCTAATGTATTATGAGTCAGGAAATATTTTTTAAAGTTCCTTTCTGCTGTCCTCAGTCGTTCTATAATCCAGCAGAATCTTAAACACATACTTAGTCAATCATTCTCTGCAGAAGCAGCAGCCTCTACTTCACATGACAGATCTATCAAGAACTGAAAGAGAAAAGGGCAAAACAAAGCAGAGACGTACATCCCTGGTTACTGTCAGACTAGGGCTAGTGCAAACCAGCTTTATGTTAGGGAATATTTAGCAGAAAGAGCAACTAACTGGTGCCACATCACAAGGAGAAGCAGCGGCAGGTAGGAACTCCTCCAAGACAATGTGATGTGTAGACAGAAGCTATTGTATTAATCCTGCCATTCATGCCTGGTGCATGTGACAGAGAATTAAAAATTTAACCAACAGCTCAACATGCCTCCTTCATTAATCAGTAAGAGGCAGGAACAAGTTGACTGCATTCCTTTATAATTGTGGAGTTGGAGCAGGCAAGTAAACATGGACTGTTGCTGCATAAAGTACAATGGCTTGTGTCTCATTGCCTTACTATTTCTGGAGGTTATTACTGTGAGGAATGATCGAGCCAAATAAATGTGTGGTCACTGCTTAAAAATAAACGAAAAAAAATGTATTGCCACTCTTCCTGGTACCTTTGCACTGACATACCATCCCCTGCACTGGTATTTGCCACGGGTCAGGGTCCCATCTTCCCCAAACTTCATTCAGTTCACGCTACTGTTTCTGTACTGTGTTCTTTGGAGTACGTAAGTAATGCATTAGCACAAAATATTGTTATTGCTTATCATACATGTAACAGGAGAATAATCATATGTTACAGAAGAATATTTAGCATAATGACTACAGGCATCTTAGAAAGGACAGATGAAACGTCCAAAGACCATCTGTAATTCATGCTAGTGCTGGACCTTGATGCTCCGTTACCAGGAGTTTGGCCAAAGATAAGTAAGTTGATTAAGCAAAGCCTATTGGGATCTACTGTCTTATGGTGCTTGTTGCCCTTATCACAGCTTCTGTGTCTCTGGTGGCAAATGGGCCAAGTTTCCACTCCCACCCAAATTGCTGCTCCACCAGTCTTCTCCCCATGTTGCCCTAGAACGAACAGTAGGTACATCAGGAGCAGTTACTCAGTGCTGAGGCCCATGACTGTTTCAGGAGCCAGGATGCTCGCGGGTGTCCTTCAGCACGGCACACACGAGTGTCTCGGCTGTGAGCTGCTGTCAGAGGCTGAGGTGGCTGCTCTCGTTTCAGATTCTCATAGTGGATGGTCAGGAGCTGAGACACAACCCTGTCTCTGTAATGGACAACATCCAGAAATTCTTGGGTGTTACACCACTCTTCAACTACACCCAAGCCCTCCGGTAAGGAAATAATTTATGTGGCTCTGTGTGTGGGTGGGTGTGCGAACACAGCTAATAGTTGCAAGCTAGTTGGCACAGTTAGCACTTGCGGTGTCAGCTTGACAGCAGTCTTCCCTTGAGAGAGCATTTGTCTCTCACTAGCCCTGTCTCACCTATTGTATGTAGGAACTGAAAGTTGCACTAAGAGGGTGTAAAGATTTTAAAGAAGCTTTATTGGCTGAGTGTGGTGCTACTAAGCACTTGGCTGGAGGAATACTTCTTATCTCTGACCACATGACCCACCAAGGTTTCAGAGGTCTGCCTGACCCTAAAACTAGGTTCAGATGGTTATGTTCAGATAGCATGAGGTACTAGGCTAAGACTGAAATCATCTTTCCAGAAATGAAGGTGAGTGTTTCTTGGCACTGCTGTGGAGGAGCATGAAGTTGCCCACAACAGTAATTCCTATGTTTTCCTTTGGGCCTTTGTGGTTTCAGAGGAGGTGTTTGGAATTATTAGAACTCCTTTATGCTTTGTGTTAGACCTTGAATCTGGCAGAAGGCAAGCGGCAGTAATGATAAAATGTGTGACAGTCAGCTCATATCTTTGCCTAGATGGAGATTAGGGACATGTCCCACAGTTTTGAGGTAGAGAGTCTATTCTTCTTGCAGAAGACTTGGACTTGACAGATGCTCAGAGCTATCTGTGGAAGTGCTAGAGGAGGCACTACCGCGCTGCACCGAAGTTGAAGGACATCATTGCTCAGACGTTGCTGTGATCCTGTCGACAGAGCAGTAGATTTAAGTGCTAGCTGAAGCTAAACGGTGGTGATATTGGGCTTCTGTAGAAGCTCTGCAAAGCTACTGGAGATCCTGAATATTGCTCTGGGCAACTGAAACCTATACTTACTTCACATTTTTTCTGCTATCTCAACCTACGCTAGCTAAAGGTAGCGGGTGCTGTGTGTATGTGTGCGTGTGGGCACACTGTGATTGCTTGTGCCTTTAACAGTAGAGCAAGAGTTGAATCAATTCAGTTCCTCTCCTATAGTTGTTTTCTAAATGGGTGGCACAGGACTCCCCAGGGGAGGGCAAACTTACAGAAACATCAGAATATTCTTATAGGCTGTACTTGTCAAAGCACGTGTTGTGATGGTAGGTAGATTATTTATAGTAGTATTTACTGATTACTGTGTTTCACCTCCCCTTCAGCCAGGGTCAGAGAAACGGCAGCGTTGGTCAGCTTGCCTCAGGGTTTGGTAGAGGTATTTGCTCAAACCTTTTCAGGGACATGACAGATATGGTTTCCAGCATTGCTTTAAACCTATATTTTAGCAAGGGGAGAAATGCTGAGGCTTTAAGCTCGAAAGGGATTCTCTGATACTTCTCAAATACAGAGGAGATTTAAAAGAATTTCCTTATACTGAAACATTGATTTTTTTTTTTTCTTTAAAGCTTAATGGACAGAGATGATAACACCAAGTTTTCTTTCAAATTTTACGTAAAGCTGAAACATTCATGGTTGTAAAAGATTTCTTGTCAAAGTACAAGAGTGCCAAAAAAAATGAACCAATAGCACAAAAAGCCACACCAAGCCCAGTTTTTAAACACTGAAATGGAAATACATATGGAGCGTTAACTTCTGCTGTTACTAATTGGGTATGTGGCCCTACCTCCTAAAGACAAGTGTCCTTTTCAGATTTGATGAAGCAAAAGGATTTTGGTGCCAGCTGCTAGATGGAGGAAAGACTAAATGCCTAGGAAAGAGTAAAGGAAGAAAATACCCTGATATGGACATCTCGGTGAGTAACCATCTCACGTTTGTTGGCAGCAAGAAATGTAGAAATTTGAGAGGCAGTGAGCAAACAAACCTGGATTTTCCTACCATCTGTGTCCTAGATGACCTACGGAACAGGGATGAAAAGTGGTGAGGGTAGCATTTTATTTCATACTAATATTGTCTGTCTTTTCTACACAGTCACGGCTGTTCCTAAGAGACTTCTATCGGGAGCACAACATTGAATTATCCAAGCTGATGAACAGACTTGGACAACCCCTTCCAACCTGGCTCCGAGAGGAACTGCAGAATTCCAGCTGGAGCTGAGAGGAACTCCCTTGCCCCCCAGTGCCACTGGGACATGTGGTGCTCTAACGTGTGCTACAATGCCATCTCTTGTCAAGCCAAAACAACTGGACAAACGAGCAGGAGCAGAGAACATACATGCATGTTGAGCTCTTCCCCACCTTTGGGAAGGACTGCTGTCCCTGACACCGTCCTGGGGCGGGGAGTGCAAATCACATCCTTGAGTATTAATGGTTTGTTACACTTGGACTCTTACTTACAGGGAGGATTTGTAATGCCTGCGCCCTTTGAGCAGGAGGCTAGAGCATGGTTAACGTGTTTTGTTTAAAGTGCTCAGTGTATGAAACAGGCACTAGCTGGAGGGTTAGTGTCTTATTCCTCTGAGTCCACTGAAAAAGAATTAAGAGGTGAGCCCACTGCTGAGAAAAGCACAGCAGCTTAATGAAAGAGGAATCTAGTCCAGTGAACCCCAGCTTTACATAGTAGTTTAATTTGGCAACAACAGATGGAAGAAAGTCACCTGCCTCCCCCTGCAGAGTGCAGTGGTGGTGAGCACTAGTTACAGTGCCATGGTGTGTGGCTCCTGGGGACTGCACCAGCCATCAGCCCTGCTTGCAGGCAGATGTAACAGATTGCCTCTCCTGGTCTGCAGCATTGCTGGTGTGATATGGTGTCCAGTGAGCTTGGTCAAGGGGCAGAGGGACATGAAGCAGAGCCACAGCTACTGCCACAGAAAACACGTTTGTTAGCTTAGGGAAAAGGTTGTCATATGTGGCAACGTGGCTGGGTAACAGGTATTTCTCTGCAGGGATTTTTAACCATTTCAAAAGCTAGAGACCTAAGCAGTGCCATTGTCCCCTTAGAGTGCTTCCAGGATGTGTTGGTGCAGCACAGCAGCTGGGGGAGGCGAAAGCTCAGGTACTGTAAAATAAAGCTGATGTAGGTGAAGGCAGAGAGGTCAGTTCCCCATGTCAAATCAGCTTCAAAAATTGCAACATTTTTCTCTTTCCCACAGCTCGAGGGCCCCTACCAAGTATGCTGATAACTAGCATCTGTTTAATTCCCCTGCAGTCCAACAATCCAAGGAGAAAGGCAGAACCCAGGTAAAAGTAAGTATCATTCATGTAAAAGGAAGGCTTACAGTTAGAAGTGGTTTCCCGTCTCCAAAAGGGGTAGTTTACTACTTCTGCAGCAGATGCTAGTCAAGTAAGTACACTGAAGTGCTTTGCCTCCTCCTGCAATAGCTGGATAATTATTCTAAGAGTAATTCCTCCAGCACGTGGTTGTGCAAGCTTTCTCCTGCTGAGCCAGGGCTTCAGAAGTCCTTTAGGCCATCTTCCCACCTCGGGCACAGATGGTTGCTGCAGTTCCAGAGAGGGGCAGAATCCATATAAACACAGGTTATGGCAACTTCCACAAGTTTCATAGGCTCCTTTTCTCCTATCAGGGGAGAGAGGTTGCTTCAACTAAGCTTTTCCATTGAGCCTTAGGTATTGTGTATTTCTGAATGGTGCATTTACCATTGTATGTAAATGTATATAGTATGCAATATAGTATTTTATTTCATGTGCCCTTGGAAAGGGTAATTTTGTGCAGCCAAAAAAAAGGACAGAAAGAACAGAAACCCCCTCTCTCGCTCCTGTTAGAGAGAAGAGCCCAACTTCCTGCACTGGATTCATGTATAGCATCATTCACATTGAATGATAATGAAGAAATTCTTGGCTCTTGAAGCTGAGCACAACTGTCTGAATAAAGGCTAGAAGTAGTAGTAAGTGGATTCAATAAATGTACTACTTATTTTTCTTCTTTGTGATGGTTTGGAGTGATGTTATGGACCCTGCGCTGGTAGAAGGGGGTGAGAAAAACTGAAGAACATATTCCAGGCCGTACAGCTAAAATTTGGGAAGGCAACAAAGGTGTTTTTAAACATAATGGTAACTTATTACTGCTGCAGAAGCAGTGTACTAAGGCTTCTTTCTCTACACATGTACCTGCAGGCTTGCAGAAGCCAGCACAGCACACAGAGCCTGTAGTTAGTTAGAGACTCAGTCTTACTGGTTTGCACTAGTGATAACTCCTGAGCCATTCCCAGCTGCTGCAGCCCTGGGATTTCCTACTTGGTGGTGACAGCTTTGCTGTGCACCTCCTGTCCAGGTGTGCTTCCACTATGTGGCCTTGGCCAGCAGCCCAGGAGCAGACCTACAGTAATAAGCAACCTTATGTTCAAATGGTAGTAAAATACTGTTTAACTAGTCACAGTTGTGACAGCATTACAAAATAGCATTACAGCTCTCACTTCAAGCATTTCAGAAACAGAAACAGCATTAACAGAGCAGGTATTTTTTACATGCTGCCACAGGAGGAGGCTCCCAGGACCAATGCTACTGATAAACCATTAAGCACAGAAGCTCCCTTGCTTCTCTTAATCCATTACAGGTTATCACTTACCTGATGACTTGAGGCTTCACTTCTACCTATAGCAAATCTGTAAGAAACTGGATTCAAAAGATACCAAAAAAAAAAAAATCAAGGCACTAGCAATAAATCTTGGGTGGGGCTCACTAAATGTCAGGGCTGTTATACTGGAGATAGTTCTATTAGGTCAGCAAAGGGCTGCTGTGCATTCTCAGTTATCATTTATTCTTCCTTCATTTCTGTGCCATGTTAGTGCTTACTGCTTATGATAATGGAAAACAAACCACTTACTTGCTGTGGCCAAGTCCAAATGTGTGATGTCCTCATCTGATTTAACTGATGAAGAGCCATTTTAAAATATGGTAACTTCCTCTTACTGCACACTGCTGCAGAAGCCACCCACTTTATAGACATCCCTTCAAAGCTGGGGAAATGAAACATGTGCTCCTAAACATAAGAGAAGCTCTGTGACACTGAAGACCAACAAGGGACAGCTTTTCCAGTGAGATAAGCAGATTACCAGACTAAATGACTAAGCATTAGTCATTTATTACCATTACACCTCATTTTGATACTGGAAATTGCACAAAAATGTAGCCTTCTTGCATCACTATTTAAGAGAGACTTCTTCATGGTAAGTAGCTAAAATTTAAGACAAAGAAAAGGTCAGGCACAAAAATGTTACCTGAAAATTTAGTTTTGTAATGTATTAAGAATTTTTTTTTTTTGTCTGATGCATAGCAAATCTGACCATTTAAAAAGGAGCAATTTGATCCAGGTATCAGAAATGCCTACAATTTTAATATAAAGTAATAGCCAGTGCAGGTCACGTGTCAGAACTGGAAGTATGCCTGACATGTAAGAATTGGCAAAACAATAAGAAGCAACTTTTTTACAGAAAGCCATTGGACTATATACATCAACCTCAGCAAAGAAAGCGCGGCACATGAAACTGAAAGTTCTGCACCTTCAAGATCTCTGGAATTCAAGCAGGACGATGATTAAAAGTAGGCTGCCACCTCTTCCTACTGGGTGCAGGAAGTACAAGGCTATGCTAGCAACTGCTATGATTTCTCAACTATAGAGTAAAGACATTTTACGGGAACGGGGAGAATTTATCTGTAAACAGCAGCAAGGACCATCTCTACATTAAACCTTATACCCGAAAACTGAAATTTTCAATTGATGACAGCACTGCAAAGACACTTTCCTGGCCGAAACCTGCAGATACTGGAAGTCAGGAAGAAACAAAACATTTTTATGTTAATCTAACAAAGAACCTGATCTAATAAACTAGTCCTGTTATTTACCGTACTTCACACTCAGCTGGCAAAAGAATACTTTGATTTCATGCTAGGCAAAGTCCCTGTATCATTTTCCTGGTCGTTTTGCTGTATTAGCAGTAAGAGGGCAAGAAAATGAATGGCAAATAGAACTGAACATGCCAAATGCATCTTCTTGTTTAGCCCTTTGCTGCATCCTGAGTGTCTCCTGGCTGACACTGTGTAGCTGTGAGTAAGCCACCAAGTCAGTGGAAGCTAACACACGTGTTTTCAGCAGGCTGCCCCACTCCCTTCACTCAGTAGGACGTGGATTGAGTACTGCTGCCTCCCTTCCCAGTTACTAGGACTTCATTTACAATGTTTCTTTCTCTTTTTTTTCTTAGCTTGTAGAAGACAAAAAAGTAAATGCAGAGTTAAGATTAGACATTAGCTCTCACCTCTGAAAAATGCTTAACAAGCTGGTTTTGCTACAATACATGTACAATGTAGTTGAGTACTCACAACACATTCATCTCCACTACTTTTGAAGACCATGTAGAAATAGATTTAATCTGTTTCAGCCCGGAAGAGTGGGCTTTTCTTCCAAGACTCCAGTCCCCGCCCTGCTCATCCTTCCAGGTTTATCAGCTTCTCCAGGCTCTCTTCTCTGCTTGTGGAACAGCACTTCTCTAATTTTGTGACACCTCTCCAGCAGCCTGAAATCCAGCTCAAGTCTACATCTCTTATGGTAAACAGTGGACTATAAATTGGAATACTCCCAAAGGCCTGCAACTATAAAGCCATCGGAAAAAAAACGTGCTTTTCAGGATGTGTAACAACCCTATCTTGCCACTGAAGCCCTGCACAACTGTAGCCACCATCAACATACATAAAAGTACTGCCCTCAAATTCCCAAACACCTTCACCTCCTCATATCAGGCTTAAAAGCAAAAGCAGAGGAGAGTTGTGGGCCTCAAACAAAAAAAATCTAAGAAAGTCCTGCAAATCCAACCTGCCCTTTTAATTTTTCAATTTAGATAACTGTTGGGGGGGAGGGGGGGGAAGCAATCAGCAGCAGCCTGTGAGCAGTCTGCCGCTTTGTTTTTTTTTTTTTTTTTAAATATGCTGCCTAATTTCTAGATAAGAAATTGGCAGGTTTTTTTTTTCTAACAACTTGTACGGTAAGCTTTTCATATTTATAGCACATTACAGCCTAAACAGAACAGGTGGAAGTATTGCCTTCACTGACATGGCTCTTCCTTAGGCCACATCTGTTGACTCTGTTTCTTGTAAAACTATTTATTTATTTCATCCATTACAGCACAGTGTAGCACTAACCAAGCTAGTTCTAAATGAGCTGGGACAGCAAAACACCTGTACTCCACTCCAAAATACAATAGTACTAGATACAATATTTAAAAAAAAAACACTACACAGCTTGCTTGAGTGTTTTAAAAAAAAAAAAAGTTCAACCCATCCCAT